TTGTGAGATCGATTATTTAGGTTACCCAGTGCAGGTGTCTGCCGCTGCAGATTAAGTTGTACGTACTGTCATTGGCTGCCCGGCTGTGTTTCCTTCTGATGCTGATGAATAATATTAATTTTACATGCTTTACCACCGACTCACGTGCCACAGTAGAACACTGTTACACCAATTGTTACGAGTGTTACACCTGGCGTTATGTAGACACAGCCTGAGTGAGCCGGGTCCACACAAACCTAAGACGGGCGGCTTGCTGCTTTTGTTGCATGATTATACTGCTATCCGATGCCCCTGTCTAGAAATTTTATCATTTATTATTATAAATTTATGAGAACCTTCAGGTAGATTTCTTCAACTGTAGGGCACAATATTGTGTATATTTGACGTTGAAATTGTTCGCAGAGGTGGGTTTCCTAGAGATCCTATTTTCGGACGGAGGTGCGTGAGAAGAACTCTATGCATTATCAGCTTGCTATGCAGAAACCTTCTAACTGTGCCCGTATCAACCGCCCCCTGTGCGTATACTCGATTAAGTGAGAACAAGCGGACACATTAGGATGATAAGTGTAAAATATATCCAGCTTCCACGACGAATGGCCAGACGTCGGATATAAAGAAGTGAAACCAGTTCCCATAGCTGTTCCAGATTCCGTGCCTTAGTAGTATGTGTGTTAATTGGCTTCTGAGGCGGTCTTTTTTCTTTTCTCTCTCTTTTTTTGTTTAATTCATTAATTGGTCTCGATCTCATAGGTCCCTGAACTAGGATTGACTCAAGTATTGCACCGGAAGAGCCTCCAATCTTCCAGTCGCGGGTTCCATATTCCAGGTTTTATAAACTGAACCAAAGGATACTTATATCGGAAAAGTGACACTCTGAACCTATCCACCTGATAAGTTCTCGCGTGCGTAGATGTCGAACCTAATATAATACCCACTGCAAGAATTCTAGAAACAACTTCCGATAGTTGTTTTCAATAGCCGTCCAAGCAGCTACTTCAGTTGTACGCGATCTTGATCTAACTCCACACTAATTAGTCGACATAATCAACATCCTTTATCTTAAGTGGAATTTAAAACTAAGATCACGAACCGTCGTTGGTAACAACAACACTCCAGTCTATATATAGTCACTACGTATACATGAACAGAAAAAACCTAACAAAAAGATTTAAGGGTCTTCGCTTAATCTTTTTCTAGTATGTACCTTAAAACGTTAGGTTTCAACTAGCTTGTTGTCGAGACTCCTACTCGCTAAAGGAACTCCTAGGAAATATAATATACACCCTTTAAAACATTCTCTATCAGTAGGAGAAGCTTTTGGGTGGATCGGTTGACTGATTTGGGCTTGTTAGGTTTGAGCCCATAAGTCAAGTTTTCTCAGACCCGCATTCACATGTAGTCACGTTAAGAATAACGCGATATTCGAAGCGAGCTACCACTAGTGAGCCACAGCCCAAATTGCCAAATTATAGGTTGATGTATTCATACATATTGATTGCTAGAGGACTCTGTGACAAACATGAACGGAAATGAAGACTAAATACCTGTGATGCATGTGGTTACGTGGACGTTCGAGAAAGAAGAGTCGATGGGAGAGGAGATACTGAGTAGAGGAGGAAACGCGGGATCAATAGTCGGAACAAACAGCAGCGGGTAAAATACTAGCGTGAAAGGTTATTCGAGAGGCTCAATAGGCTAGAACTGACATCTACAATTGAACCTAGTAGTGACACTCTGGCATATTACAATATGTATGCCAGTGTCTCAACCATAAAGCTAGGTGAAGACGACTTCCCTCTTCATTATTTTTCACAAACTAGATCAGCATTTGACCCCTTTATCTATGACGCTTCTAGCGTAAATGGAGATGAGAGAAAGTACATAACCATGACCGCGGCCGGGATACAGCAGTCATTGTACAAATCTGGCCGGTCGATGTTCAGCCAGAACCTTTGATACGTCAATACGAAAGGTTCTCCGAGCTCCATGCCAATTGCACAACCCATCCCGGTCATATCATCATCATCATTATTATCATCATCATGAGCAAATCAACATCATCGATTACCCACTCGCCTCACAGGGGGCACGTCGGCTTTGAGATGTGATGGCCATATATATGGTACTGCTATCTTGATGGCATATCAGATTTTTGGGGATTGTGAAGATGAAGTGTCGGAGGGTTCAGAGACTTCGTAGTACTCAAAGCTGTATAAACACGAGGTGATACCCAAAGCTCATGAGCATCTTATTCGCTTTAAATTAACTAACTCTGTGTGTGTGAAAGGTATTAGGAGCAATCGATACGCAGTTTCCGTCAGTCGTAGTAGCCGTAGTTCGCAAATCGACCTATCATCAGGGGGATATATCTCTGAATAAACGGTGTTTACCACCGCGAAGACTCTAATTGCACTCTATGCCACAAAGCAGGGGGGATTAAGTAAGCCTATAATCTAAAATATATTTCAATCTACTGATCAGTGGGACACAGCGCGTGTTCTGTGCTATTACAGGGCTACATCCCCAAGGAGTCCTTCGTCGCTTAATAGAGTGGGCATGTATATGGTAGGCATGGCCTCGCCGTACCCGAAGACAAGGCCTTCGGACTTAAAGCTTAAATGATTGGTTCGATAACCATTCACGTTACCCAACGCTTCTTCTACCAGAAGTGGAGACAAGGGATGTCTTGTCGATGCTATCATGCCAACCCTTTGTAAGAATGTCCGTATATACCCTCAATAAACATTATTCATCGTTCTAACATGTATCAGAAATATTGTGCCTTTTCCCGAGTGAAGCTACAGGTATTGTTGTACTGTTTTTGATATAAGAAAGAAGGTATTAAGAAGAGAAATCGAGGAAACACAAGGGACAGGAGACTCCGCATGTCTGGGTTACTTTGACAGAATGAGGGGGCCTTTCTATACGTGGGTGGATGTGCTCTCTGCAATAATTGTATAAAAAACTGTCTCGGAAAGGGTAGCAGCCCTCAAAGCTTTGGGTTACCCCAGGATTAAGCTACGGGCAGTGAATGAGGGAGTTTCAGGGGTGATTTTCTCGCTGGTCTTGCGATGAACACCGCTATTTCCAAATATCCCGGCTCACTGTCGAATAGCGGTTTAATTAATCAATGGTCCATGTCTGTGATGCGCCCGTCCATCGTGTATTGACGGTAACACCATGTAGATTAAGTTACTATAGCACCCACCCAATTTCGTACGTCAGGTGTCAGATCCAGTAATATTTCTCTACCACCATGTGTCAGGAAGATGGAGGAGTGTATATAATTAAATAGTATGTCGCTACAATATGTGCTGATGATTCTTAGGGCATTTGTCTAGAGAGCAACACTGCTCTCTATTTAAATATAATAAATACTAATCAGTATATCTTTAAATCGCATTTTTAGAATAATCCCACTCGTCACTATAAGCAACTTATATATATTGATAAAAGCTTTCGCTCGCTTTCGGCCGGAGTGGGAAATGATATCGCTTAGGCATCGACCGCACTCGTTTACCTGCAACTCAAAGATCTAGATCACAGTGCCAATATTTGAGAGGCTTATACTACTAATCAGCTGAGTGTCAAAAGTACACCGTACATGACTGACTCGCCTTAAAACGGATACTATGCGTATGCATATACCCGCGGGCGTCTATAGCTACATCTTATAGGTAGTCTTTATGGTTATGGTCATCTTCAGAGTGAAAAAGAATGGTAGTCAAACGATTTATCTATCCAATTTCACTGCTGTGAGACGCTGACATCATCCCTGCTATCTTTAATCCCAACCCCGTTATAACAGGACATCCTTGAATTATTCACAATTTTTTTTTTTGCTTGGCTCTACGTACCCACGTACCACTAATAAGAAATCGATTGCCACCCACGGATTGGGGTTTGAAAAGCAAATCCAGAAATCGGGGTGGGGTAAGTATCCACTAGGCGACTTGAGACACTGCTCTTCTAGACTCGTCTCCATGATCCTATAAGTGGATTCACCACTGAAACACAATTAATGAAGTAATTAATCAATTAATTAATTCACTGAAACTAAGTTGCCATAGTACGAGTGATATTCTATGATCGGTCTAGCCGATGACTCAAATGCATTGCTAACAAAACGCGTTGGTTAGAGCCTCTAAGACTCACTAACATGCATAGAACTAGTCATAACCTCTGTGCAAGGCTCAGAGATAACTCTAAAACCCCACACTAATGAGAGGGTCATAGTTACTCGATCACGATAAGGTATGGCCAGTAGTCAATAGCGATTCTAAACAACACTAGTACTACACATGTAACTTTTAAAATATTGAATGCAATGATCCCTATGAGACTTCGTTCCTCTCTCGAGTCACATATTACTCCGCACTAACTGGTGAGCGCTACGAGTAACGGTTCATACGTGGCTTTGTTGAGTCTTGCAAAGGTTACCTGTATATAAATGAGGTTGAGAATTTATGATCATGTATCATTTCCATCCCGAATAGGAAAGGTTTGGTTTTTGAATTGGGAACCGTCACGCTTGATCACTCGCCCACCATGTGTACCCCCAAACCGGGGAGTGTTATAATTACTTGATCAATGGTTAGAGAATAAATCCAGTTTTGGCAAAACACTCGGTTTGAGAGTTCTGGCAGAACAGCAGAACAGCGTGGTGCTATGCCTCTTACCAAGCGTTTCTTTTGTCACAAATTCCCTCTACACGCAGTTCCATACAATTTATATCCGGCCTGACGGCCCAAAGGATACTTTTCTCGAACATCAAAAATATGAACATGTCTCCCTCTCTCCGTGAATTTCTCCCCAATCCCAACAAGAAATACTTAAACCAAATGAATAAGTATGTCAGTACACAAACCACCGTATCTGTGTATCAGAATACCAAAAGCCCCCACCCCTAGGCCACCTAATGCGCTCGTTTAGCTAAGCGTTCGGAATACCCCCTGCGCAGAACCTCCCCCCCCCCTCCCCTCCCCACGAAGTAAAAGACCCTAGATAATAACATACGTGGATTCATCCATATCCCCGACTTGGGCGGCTGCGGCATTGGTTGGGAGACATACGCTGTCTGCTTGTAAAGTCTCCTTGATGTCCTGCAGTAACAACTCCATCGGGTTGATGTATGCAACGACTTTATTTTTGACGGAATGACCAGCGATGATGTGACCACATACACCCCCGCAGCGATTGTCGACGACCCATGCCCCAGAATCACCATGATCTATATATAGAAGGGTGGTCAGAGTGAGACGTCATTACTTTGAGTGTTGGGTAAAAATGCAGCTAGCTGTACCTCCAATTTCACCAGTGACATTCCAGCTCCTCGAAAAGGTCTTCCGACCAGACATCCTGATTGAGCTAATAGCCTGGCTTATCTCACCCCTCTGTAGCCCACTCGTACGGCCTATACCGTGCACCGCCAGGCCGCCGAAGTTAACCATCGGCACATAAGAACACGGCTCCGAGTCTTGTTTATCGAGTGATGACGTAAGGAATCTCCCACCGCCCTGAATCAAATTACGCTGTCCCAACCGGTCTGCGGATATTTCAATCAATGCCCAATCAATCTCGTGCTTTTCAGACTCGAATATAATCCTCCTAATACCCGAAGAGGCAAGGAACGTTCCTAAATGGTATTCCTCAGTGACTGACTCGCTTCCACTCTTTTCTTCCTCAAGGAGGTCCATTTCGGCCGGTTGAACTACCACAATACGTTGGACATGATTCCTTTCAAGCCCGGGTTTATCTCCGATAAAGTCATCGCCTTCGATGGTATTATCTCTCCCATCATTCTGATAATCAACTTCACACACTAAGCTTTCAGACAGACTTTCCTGATCGTACTCAACATCGCTTCCGCTACCTCCCTCGCTCCCGCTACCTCCCCCCTCCGATTCCGGATACAGAGGCACGTTTCCTATCTAAATTTGTAACCAATGTATTGTTTAGCGCGCTCTAAACCGGATATTAACGTACATGTATTTTACTTACATCTACATGTCTAGGCCCACCGATCAGCTGGCCCTCTTCCACGTAGGTGTTTTCATCGGTGGCCGAATGACAACTAGCGTAAGTCTCTACCAGTGTACGAACGCGCCACGCATCTTGCTCCTCTGTCGGATGATCATCAGTATCCACTAGATGATGTACCGTTAACCCGTATGGCTTTTCATCAACAAGGACAAGCCCGCCATAGGTTGCAGCGGGCAAATGTATCCCGTCGCGGCAGGCTCCTATAGATGCGCCTGGTAAAGGCCTTTCTTGACGCTTAGAATCTCGGTCTTCTCTTCCTCCGCCAGATGACCTTTGAACAGATCCCTTTCTGACTTTCAGGCTAAATACAGCCCTGTCGTAAACGAATTTCTTGAGAAGGCGCTTGACCAATCGGCTACTCTTACAGGTTACCACGATTGTTGGTCGAGATTGTTCCCGACAGGTTCCGATCCCGAGCAGATCAATAGATACTGACTCTTCCGCAGGGAGGTGTTTCTCGAGAATTCTTTCAAGTCGTGGAAGCACATCCTTTCGCCATTGCATAATTTGTTCATGAGTAGCCGTCACCGGGAATACTTCGTCCTGTGTTTCTTGTTTTTCGGACCCCCTGGGAAGATCAATATCCATGCGTAAAGATCTATCCGTACTTGTACTTTGTGTATCAATTCCTTCTCTAGATTCTGCCTTCCCTAGAGACCGAGTCCTCTCATAACCTTCTAACTGTAGTATTGCAATTTGTCAGCTAAAGGGTGAGTATCTGAATGGTAGGGTGTACGTACACCTAAACTCGGAATTGCTGACCATGTACCCGTATATGAGCGCTGTATAATGCGATCCCTCTGAATGTTACGACCTGGTTAGTTATGGGGGAAGCTAGATATATATAGATTGATTGCATAGTATCACCCACCGAGTACGTGGTGGACCTAGACGAGCAAATATTTAGTATCCTTGTAAATTTCCAGAACATATTCCCTTGACGGATTATGTGGTCATCATTACCCCCAAGGTTACCCTCGAGCGTGCTACGCCCCATACCACCACCTCCTGACCAATCGGATCCGTATTCAGACTGCATCAACTCATCGATTTCAACCCATTTACTCACATCATTGTTGGCACCCACATATCCTAGGCGTGAGTCATGAGGAGAACCGTTAGAAGCGACAGTCTCTCTCTCGAATATTACCAATAACACAGTCCGCCAGAGACTTCCGGTATCAGCGTTTCTTAGTTTAACATCATTCCCAAATATTGCATCCGCAGACTCTTTCGTTGTCGGTACAGCCTCCCCCGTGTCTTTGGAAGAAGGGATAAATCTACAAAAGAAAGGCTCCTCAAAGTTCAAATTACGCTCGGAATCCTCAAAAAAGATGATATTTTGATCATCAATATTTCCGTGGACCCACTTGCAAGCGTGGAAGAAAAGGATAGCGCATATGAGTTTGCGAGCAATCGAAAATCTCACTCCAATGTCTTTCGGTAACTGTTTTTCGGCGAGAAGTCGACGAAGTGACACCGGAGGGGACTTTTGTGAGGCCCAGTGCGGAATGCGGTACAGAAGCTCCACCCGACCTGTAGCTAAATTTTCGAAATAACCCCCGAGAACCAAAACTCGCATCTCATCTGGCTTTGGCAACCGTAGCCTTTGTTGATACTTGGTCCTAACATATACCATATCCCCCAAATCTGTCGTGGCTTGTTCCATAGTCCACTCGGTACGGATGGAAATCAAACCACCCATGGGAGGTCCATCCATATCACTCTTTTCAGAATATACCCCAATTCCATCATATGAACCGGATGAAATAAGATTATCGGGTGTCAATAACGGAACTGGCGAGGTAACTTTACTTTCATCTATCAAGTCAAGCATAGAACCGAAGTTTTGTTCGATTTCCGAGGAACCAAGTGACTTGAGGAATATAGGATCGCTGTCGTTAAGTTGGATCTTCTCGTTGATCATAGTTGGCGCAGTGGTCTTCATCAAGGTAGCGGTTAAAGCCCATTCTATAGTTTCGCGCAATGTTCCCGGAAGATTGGAATAGAGAGAGCCGACGAGAGGAAGTAAGTCCTCCCTGAATCTCACCGGGTAATTATAAGGGACCCGCCCCATAATCCGCATGCCACACAGGACACAGCGGATTCTGTTAAGTATTCGAATGTGATCTCGAAGGAGAATTAACGAAGAATGATCCTTGTAATCGGAAATAGTTGCACCCCATAATAATAGTCGCTGCTCCACAACTTGCATAGACTCTCGCCTCACCAGTCCGCGTTTGCGTTCAATAGTCGAGTCTCCTGAGATTCCTGCAACTGCCAACATGGACGCAATCTCCCGACATAAGTCGGAGCAACGGGCGATTAGATGTTGTACGCTAATTAGCTGAGGCTCGTCATCACCGGTACCCCAGGGGCCGGTGTGCCTTCCTTCTCGGAACAACTCATCGTTCGCGGGATCAAAAACAAAGGGGTTGATGTGTCTTTCTCCCATACTCGTTTGATGCGTGGACGTGTGCAAGGTGAAATGTTGATGTTGACGTTGACAGAGCTAGATAGAGAGTTGAAGGCTGAGCTGAGAATTTTCTGGCCGGCGCCCCCGCACGGATCGATTAAGGGGGACGCATGTACAAGAATGGAGCGCATACTGCGCACTATGAAGCACGCATACCAATAGTTGAAGTAAGACCCTCCGCGGCTCAAAGAATGTACGGATCTTTGAATGGGGGCTCTCAGTTTCGCCTTGATTGCTAGTAGGGATGACCAATTAATCACGCCATGGATTGTTTCACAGGCTCGCTGCGGTGATCAGGCCTTGCACGTATGGCACTGCAGTGGGTAAATAACATCTAGAATAATCATGAGGACAGTATATCGTATAACTGTGATACCACACAGAATATATATACCTCTGGTTGACTCTGTGTAGAGGTTCGGAGACAAATTGCAAAGTGATAAAGCTTTAAATTTGGCGGTCTGTCAGCTGCAGTTGGAGAAACAACACCAGTACATTCTCTGTCCATATGATGACAAAGATGGATTAGAAAATAGATTTAGTTGGGAAGGCCCACGATTGATGGTTGTTGGTTACATGTATGTATTGTCCTTGAGGCTTGAGGCTTAGGTTAGGTGCACGTACACGTAGGTGAATACATGCATTGATTCGATATAATCGAAGATCAAATACAACAGGGCCATGGTCACGTGACAGGTTTCGAGAGGGAAAAAAGCCGAGTATTCTAAAAGCAATGATCTAAATGATTGGAGCCGGTGCTGAGTTCTAATCTGACAAAAGTAGGCATGTAATTAACGTCAAAAGTTCTTTGCCAAAGTACATGTACACCGATACAGAAATCATATCTATGTCATAAACACCCCTCAGAACCTGTTCAGATCCTCTAGGATGTTACCACAAACAAGAATATACAGATACATGCACGTAAGTCAATGCTTCCCGCTTGCCGGTTACACAAGACGTTGAGGTTTCCTGTCTGGAATCGATGTCCATGAACAGATCTAGACAAAGACCAGCAATCTGCATATATTGGCCTCTGATTGGCCCGAATACATATAGTCTGACAAGTGCTCTGGGGGAGAAATCTTAGTAGGCGCTAGCTACTTACATGTATTAAATATATCTCCAGGCGTGCGCCTTATGCCTAGTCGAAAATATTATATCACATCCTACTTGGCTATCAGCCCTTCGAGCTTGGCGCCAACGTTCGCAGACTCTTCGTAGCCTACACACCTGACTACATGCTTTGCCCAATCAGAAGAGACATAGCTCGACTACATGTGTGTACCTACTCGAATGAATAAATCTCTGTTTGCTGCTTTAAGATTAAAAGTACCCCCCGCCCGAATCTTAAGAGGTTGGACGTATTCAGCCCAAAACTTGGTAACCCAACATGTGCAACACGTTTCCTTTATGTTGTCCCTTTCATGTTGTTCGTGTTTCATACAGGTGTACACACAAAACCAAGTATCAGGGTTAGGGTTAAACTAATTACACATCATTACCGGCGAGTGATCCAACATGACATGTTTCATAGTTCTTCTCTGCTATAATTCCCTTCTTGACCGTTAGGTCTTGACCATATTTAAGAATTATAATCAATGTTAGAGGAGTAGGTTGGGGGTTTTTGCCATGGTAACGCAGCACGCGACCACCGCCAGCATATAATGGAGGACTCCGGCTCTACAGTCGAAAATACCAGGTAGCTTCAAATGTCTTGAACTTTAGAGTTTCGAAGTATTTCGTTTTTTTGTTTTTGTTTTTGTTTTTGTTTAATTGATATCATAGGCTAATATTCAGGCTTGGAAAAGGGCCGGGATTCCATAACTCCGGTGTCCGAGTATCGAATGCGGTTTATTCGTTAACCATACATGTCACACTTGATTGAAGCGTGCTACACAACTAGCACAGTAATCAAACACTCCCCCAATCAGATCGGTCCACCCATATTTAAGTCTCTTGAATCTTACACCATACCCTTCGTAAGTAAATTCTTCCAATTCAGAAAGCGACTCCAAGGCCAATAAATTGACATATATTCTAATATGCATTCTTCTAACGAAATTCCTCCAATTTCCAAGGACCTCTGATGCAATACTTATGAATCATCAATTCCCCGTCGGTATTAACCCCGACCTCAAAAGATAAGCAGGAGTACAACTCCAGGCATGACAATACGAGTTATTCAAATGATCCCCATAAGGGCTAAACATTGAGTCCGCCGGATCGTACGCCTCCCAGAATGTATCCGCGCCGTTTTGGACCATCCCTCCCCAATAGTTCAACAACAAACTCATTGCTTCCTCCTTCGCCCCTACTCGTGCAAAAGCCTCTGTGACGTAGTGAAACAGATACGGTGTCATCGCTTTTGTCGCCGATGGATCATTGTATGCATTTACTAAGGCAACTTTTGCCCTTTCCGGCGGCACGATGTCCGCAAGTGCTATCCACGCTTGAGAAGCCCAGGAAACTTGTCTTTTAGGGCCACTCACGAAAACTCCTTTTTCTGCGTCAAAAGCAGAGCTGAGAGTCTCGGATGATGCCGTAATAACATCGGTATGGATTGCCGGGTATCCTAGGAGAGAGGCAAGCTGATTTACGGCTTTCAGTGCGAAGACGATAAGTGCATGAGCACCCGTAGTTCGATCTAGGCCGTCTTGCCAGTCGAGAAACACCCAAACATTCTTATTGGGTGTAAACCTTCCATCAGCAGATATTGATGAAACAGAGTTCCTGGTACTATTAACCACGGTCTGCCACAAATCATGCCCAGTAGCCTTGTCGCCAGATGCCCTAAACCCCCGAGTGGTCAGTGCTTGTTGATTAATCAAACGCAAATATTATATATCGAAAGAGACGAACTCAACATAGTCCAGGACTGTCACCCCAAACAACACATCATAATCCAAGATATAGTCCCCCGCCCTCCTGGTAACAGGCCGCTCGAATATCGCTGCAGGAACACTTCCATCCTCTCTTGGAAACCCCGCAAACAAGTAAAGACACCTTTTCACCAGATCATAATTCTTGAAAGTATAATAATTTGCCAGCGCCTGCAGCCTAAGGTCTCCAAGCCACAGCCGCCTATCCCTTCTCGGTCCATCTTCAAAGATAGTGGTCATACAGTCCCTTAACGTGATCACTGAGGTCTGATCTATCCTCCTAAGTAAATCGTCGGCGGTCTGATACGGAGGTGGTAGGGACGCGGTTGACGATATTGCCGTAGCCTTCACATTCAAGAACCTTATCTTGTAAGACTTCGATCCGCACAGCACCTGCACACGCACGTAACGGAACGCAAATCGGCGCGGCAGATTCACACTTGAGGGGCATTCATCGATGTTGATAATCTCATCTGGATACCATGAGGTTGAGATCCACGACTAAACCAGTTATCAGCGACGACCCATCTTCTAGACTCCAGTAAAAGCTAAATGATATTCAACCAGAAACTAACTTTTGATTTCGCCGGATCCAGCGTCTCAACCACATCTCCAGGCACCTCTCCAAACACCAATCTCAGCCTGGTCGGGGCATCGCCAACCGAGTCGCCCTCCCCCGCAAGGTCGAAGGAGAAATATCCAGTGCGGTGGCTTTCAAAATCGATGATGAACTCGTCTCCCTTCCCCCATAGTCGACTCTCAAGCTCTTCTACTGGAAACAGACTCGAGGGTTTATAGCGGAGATAGGTAGTAGCACAGGGGTCGAAGCGGATTATGCTCTTGGGTGCCTCGCGCCTTTCAATGAGCTGCGGTATGAGAGAAGCCGCGGTTTCGCGGAAGCGCTCGAGATGGGCGATGGGTATGAGACTCGACATCTTAATACCGTGTTACAGAGTCGACAGCTTTACAAGTCCTTATTTAAACGGTGAATATGTCCCGTCTACCGAGTATAATATGCTGATATTGCGGGGTCTCGGTATTATATTTACGCGAGGTGGGATAGCAAGCATAGCCCTGGTTCATATAGTAGGGATATATCCTCACAAATATTTAATCAAGTCCTAAAGGGTTAGATCGACGCCTATATGAGTATAGCTATGATTTGCTATATAAATTTCGATATTAGCTCATATCTTCAGTCATTCGATCAGAAACCAAAATTCGCTGAATCCTGCAGAAATAATTCTGGCCGCAAAACCTGCAGGAAACACTGAATGATACCCTGAACTACGTCAACTCAATATCCCAATAATAGCTTTGATTAGAACTTTACAGATTGGAAAATATGTGTGGTGTCAATCAATGACTTGAACAGGCCGAACTCAATTTAAGTCATCAGTCATCACTCGGATAAGTTCGACAATATCGATTTTGTGCTTCAGAGCCTAAAAGAAGTCCCAGTCCGTGACGCAGAGTCGAAACCAGTTCCAATTCAAAACTTTAGTATTATTCCTGTTCAGAATGTTTTATATCCGGGGCGTATGGGCTTTATGGGTATAAATGGTCTATCTTGCACCGCTCATATAGTCAGGTGATCAAAAAACAAAGCCTTTAATTCTCCACTTTCCGCTTCTATATTCAACAGATAATTGCGAAGTTCCTTATTCACATCCAAGACCTATGATCCATCTTCCACTCGTTAGCTTGTACTCGTTAGTCGTTATTTGAATTCCAAACATAATCCTTAAACTTGAGGTATGCATGTTCACCATGTGCGCCCACACCACCTGGTGCCCGATCACTCCCTGAGCCAATCCAGCATCTTTGTCTCCACGAAAACTCCCGCCTTTTCCAACTCTTTGAAATACCTCTCTGTCGCAATTGTCGATGGCGTGAGTACACCGCCACCTATTTTTTTTGCTAACGTATCCTCATCGAACAAAATACTCAAAGCCGTCAACGCCAACAGGATACCAGTTAGCTCATAGCAGTCTTTCTCGGCGCGGAAGGAGACATATGCTCTCTGGTGAACAGCTCTTCCGTCATCCGCCTCAGCAATGCCGCGCCATTCAACTCGGTGCTTTAGCACTTGCTCGGTGGTGGGGCCATCACCGGGCTGAGTTACGAATTTGCGAGTGAGCCATCTTATGATGTTAGCCATCCTACTGTCCTCCACTCAGGGTATCTAAATCGCGAGAACATACCGTATAGGCGCGAAAAATGGCAATGCTGAAAGGGCACTAAAGATAATTACCCAGAGTATTGCCGTGACAAAGTTTCTGGTTTTCTTGTACTCCCTGAACTCAAAGTTCTTTCCATAATACTGGCCCTCATCGTGAAGTCCCCATCCGCGGTAAACAAGGGTAGTGTCTGGTATGGCCTGTATCCACATAGTGAGATAGCCAAATGTAGGATGACGTCGGAACGGGAGAGTGTAGGGGAGTGGGCGGCCTGGTACTGGAGAAAGAGAGTAATGGTTGGCAGAAGTGAGAATCTCAGAGAGGGAGCAATGCTCGAACATAGATAAAGCAGTCTGAGGAAACTGTTAGTATATGACAACAAACTTTATAGACGTAGAGGAATAATACCTCTGCAGTTCCACCGCTGACACCACCTTTGAGGTCATCAATTGTGTAGACCATTTCCCTCACCCCACAGTTCAATTTGTCTCTAACAAATTTCACAAGCGCATACGCCGATAGCTCTGCCGGCGCGGATTCAACACCACATTGTGGAATCAACTATGAAGGTAAGTCAGGTTCAGCTAGTCGAAACCATATATAATAACTAAGTAATGCCAAGAAATTGGACTCACGATGGCTCCATTTTTCTTTGCTTCTTCGTGATATTTTTCTATGATCCGCTTCACCCACGGGGTCTCGCCCGTAGAATCCACATAATGGGTCCCATTTCTCGCGCATGCCGCAACCACAGGTGTCCCGTATTTCAAATACGGGCCAACTGTCGAAATCAAGCAGCAGGTTGATTTTGTCAGGTTGTCTAGTGCCGGTTCACTCAAATCGGAGACGAATGTCTCTGGAATTAACATACCCAGTTAGTTGGTGGATAAAGGGTAGAGAATTTTCATGATGACGCACCGACTGGTTGCCTATCTGGATATGTGGTATTGTAGTCAGTAGCAAGGAGTTCGAGTTTTTGAGATGATCTGCCAGCAATAGCCCACTTGAGAGTAGTAGGACTGTTGAGGAGTATTTGCTTAGAGGTGAGCTTTCCGGTGTAACCGGTTGCACCGAAGATGATGAGATCGTAGGTTCGAGGTGTAGAAGACATCGTGTGTGGGGAAATGGGCAAAATCAAATCTCTTCCTGTTCAACAAGAGCTTTTGGGGGTTGACGAGGGTTTAAAGTAGAGTTGCATGGTCCGACAATAGCCAAGAAACTAAGCGACGACTGTAACCGAGGCCTAGCCCATGGGTCTTTACTCTATGTCGTCATTTTAATCGGGAACTTCTACAGCTCTTCAACACGTCGTGATTAAGCACTTTAGATTGAGCGTATTTAATAAATACGAATTAGTTTAGAGCTCGCTACTTCAAAGCTAGATATATGCTGATTTTGTATCTAACTACGACGCGGGAAAATGCGATATAATTCACACCGTCGGTGATACGGCATTGTCGCGTGTGCAGGGACCCAAGAAGCTAAATGATACAAAGTACCCCGTTTAGTGTATATATTGGTATGGCTAGATAGGCTTGATGGGTTATCATCACCCAGTTCGTCTGCGCTGGAGTGCGCTGATTCGTGGAGACATTGAGTGAGTCGACGTTGATGCCGAGCGCAAAGAGATATCTATGGTGCGAATGTCCACAAACGGAAATTCTGCCAGGGCTAGGGTCTGTGCGAGGGTTAGGGCTTTCTCATCAAATACATGAACGAAGATTTTCCGGGTTGCATCCTTATTAGGGAATGGTTGTTTAATTAAGAGTCTAGTAGGGAGTCGGGATGGATTTAATTTGCGCGCTCAATTGTAATTAGACTGAGCTTTTATTAGTATGTAATACATGTCTTCTCTCAGTACTATTATCTTTTTTCCTGCTCCAAATATATACATACTTAAACCGGCATGGGTACGTATATCTACCTGGAATCAACGCAGTACATACTTGTGTGTACACACTCGAAGTCACCATTGTCCCAGTGCACGCCCTGTATTTACTCATGACCGATGCCTCCACAAAAAGTTTGGTATACCGACCAACGTCAGATATACTTTCTTCCCAACTAGACTTCACTAGAAGCACTCTCTGGTTTATTAACGATCGGAATTAACTAAGCCATAGTCATCCAACTATATTTCTCCATATCCCAAACCACAAACTCCATGCTAACCCTTGCTCCTAGCCAGCACCAAGCCCGACAACCGAAATAGTGATGCACACAACACAAAACAAGACGAGACTTCCCTGGATCTCGTCTTGTCTTGCCTCTGGGAAGACAGGATCTTGTGGCTAAAGAGACCTAGGGTAGGTCTCGCGCAAAGCCTCGAGACCACAGCTCCATCTCCAGAAATTAGTAACAAGGCCTTGTATTATACAGGATTAAAACCAAAAATTAACTAGGGTTAGGGCTTGGATGGGTTCTTGCGTTTGTACAAACACGTATCAATTTAGGTATCAGCTGGGAAATGCTCCATTTTTCAACATTTTACATTGTTTCGGGACGTCTCGAGACTGCCTGAATGAGTCTCGAGACTAATTGTCTTGCCCAACTACAGGTCTCGTCTTCTCCTGTATCGTCTAAGAAAACAAAGTCTCGAGACTTTTTGTATCGTGTGCATCACTAAACCGAAAGAAGATGGTATGAAAATTAAACGGCCCGTATAAAACGGAAACTGACATGCACAATTTTCGAAGGCTTCTTAAAACGCAGAAAGCACTAGCAAGAAGAGCCCTGGCTTCTAACACTTTTATTTTGGGGCGTTATATATGTTGTTCTCGGTTCGACGATTTTCCGCTCTGTTCGTAGCACCGAGTGATATTTGGTGATTGAAGTATCGATATATTTTTTTTTTGAATTCATTAATTTTGAATTATCGATAACCAAATACCAAAATATTGCACGCACTGCAAACGTCATCCACCATACTTCACAAGTTACTATAAAGAAATAACTAATCCAATTATACGCGGATTGACAGAGAATCATCTTTTTGTTATTTCCAGACACGATTTCACTGGGTTGGATTTCGTTTGTATACTGCCTGCAGCATTCCCAACATCCTTAATATATACATACTAGAACTAGACATAGAACTATGAAATTGTACTAAATTCTCCTAGTTTCTTTCTCAAAAACGCTAGGCACTCTTCTTTGCGGCTTTGGTTGACTGTCATATAATACCCTGAGAAATTCCTGGTCATACAAAAGTAGGGGACGGGAACGAGACTACCTCTCCTTCTCAGTACTGGAGTACAATATAAACTAACTCTCGATTTTGGGAACTCTGTTATCAGTTCTGCTCCGCTTCTATTCCATTTTTTTACATCTGCATATCACACTGTATAATGTCAAGCATTCATTGACCTCTTATCCGCTCTTACTGTACTAGTTATTCTTCTCCGTCATTCTCTACTTCCATCTCACTTGCTCCTGCAAACTCAGACCCTCCATTCTATGTGATATGGATCATTTAAATAACATAGCCTCCACTGCCAGAAGGTATCTTTGTTACCGCGACTAACGGTCACCTTTAACCTTTCAGTACTTCCAGAGAAATATATCTATGTGCTCACAACATGACTCCAAATACCAACCCTATTTTTACAGTGAAAGTGATTATTATTTATTGTTAGTACCTTTGTGGCTAGTGTTGCAACTTAGAGCCGAGATTTGAGTGGAAGGTTCGACAATTTACCGTTGAGTCCCCCAGCACATCATCGTCTGACAAGTCATGTCTAGGTGCTTATTCGCGGCCTTGGGGCCATTGGGAACGACAGATTCTAGAGATGTGTTTGTGGTAACGAGGAGTATGTAGCCAGCTAATTGGTGCTAGGCTCAGTGGAGGGTGATTACTGCGATGTTGTTCGGCGGGGGATTAAGGTTGTAAATATGTTGAATTACTTTTACTATTGGAGTATAAGGTAATATTATATGCAGTATATATGTGACCGTCACTGTCACCGCCACGCAATGTGACCTATATACGAGGAGAAGCATCCTTGTGTCCTTATCTCAAGGACACGCCCTCGATGATGTACAAGGACAGTGGTCCCAAAAGGTCAAGGAGCCTCAATATCTTATGTCCTTGCCTTGGACCTTCAAGGACGCAACGCTCATTAGCGATAATACACACCTAGTATGCCGATTGATTCGGTGAGTTCATGGATAGAGTGTTAAAGAAACACCACTTTGCACTCTCACGAAAACGCCTTTTATTCGGGGACAACAGTGCTGGACAGACGCGGACAGACAAGAGTGAAGGTCAACGAGGACGAGGCATCTCGAGCACTCTCGTAGACCACACTAGTGTGGAGGACTTGACATACCAATGGGGATCCGGACTGATTGGAGCGCCCTATAGCAGTATTTACCCATTCTGATACTCTCCATAGCAAGAGAAGCAACTAACGTTCGACAATATATGAAATAGCGCCCCATATTAATTCCGATGTGCAAACGCCAATCAGAGAAGCTGGGAACACAAACTTTAAAATTATGCAAGGTCTATCAGGTTTGCGTCTCTTGCATTTTCTTCTGGCGATATGGAACTAACCTGGCAGGTTTATAAATTTTTCTAGCTGATCTGGCTTCGCAGGTGCACGTGCACTATATACTAGCCACGATTGACATCTGTGTTTACAATTTACCTCGTCATCATCGTGCTAGTACGGAAGGATAAACGGTTCCAAACTTTTATCAACAAAGCCAGTCTCTTTCTGTTCAACGCCATGCAGTCGATATCAACTTCCCAAACCTACTAATCTTCTCAATACCATGGATTGGGTACACGACATACATGAGGTCAAGGCAATTGGCTATTCCGGAACCGCGCTAAATCACAAACGAATCGAAAATCGCTGGCTACTCTCGCGCCAACCCGTAGCTCCAACCTCCTGCAGATCACCTGTCAAGAACAGGCATTCCCCTGCCTACTCTTCAGCAAGCGAGGTACAAGGGTCCAGAGGCGATAATTGATCCGAATAACCGGCAGCAAATTGCCGCCGCCGGTTTTCACCGCGGCAAATATGTATGGGTGAGCTGATGGCCATGGTGGATCGAGAATTATATGCACTAGTGGGGTTTCGCGTCTGGTTCGAGAGAGCTACATAGAATGACCCACTTCATTAAACTTCAGGTACCTACTCCGGATTTTCTATGGGAATGGGGGGTAGGATGTGGGGTGTGGGATGTGGAGAGATGGATATCTTTATGTTGACGGCCGTACAATATGTGCTAGCGAGGTATGTAACGTATCTCAATCTACTCTATTTTGGTTCTGTGAAGAGAGAAAGATAGGGTAAACTGGGACTGGGTTTCTAGACACTCTATGCACTTCACTCTCAGTATCAGAGAGTGCACTCAAGAGCTTATCTCACCAACCCACCCACCACAATAAAACGCCTCTTATAGACCAGGTTATAGACACACACTCTAGAAAAAACCTGAGACAAATCGACATCCGCATATCCTTTCCGATCACTACCGCCCCACCACCACCACCACTTGCTTACTTCCCTTCTTCGCTCTTGGCGTCAGGAACGCCGCGAATTTATACATTACTCTACCTAGGTCTCCCCCTCATGACTGGGTGAGGAGTATTTGCGCGGGTTCCGCACGGAATAATAACTAACATGCGGATCATAAGACATCCTTTGCATCGACTGAGATTGGAATGTTGTGCCTGGTCTATCAACATCCCAGATCGATCGGTGTGAATGGGAGAAACAAGTTTACTGGTATTTAGAGGCATGGGTACATACATATATGTGGATTACTCTAAGCTTGCTGTCTGACACCTCTCGTGTGGCGATATTGGCTACTTATCTCCGCATAGATATTCTATTCTGACGTTGAGTAGCTTCCTCTTTAATTTGGTGCTGACTTTTGCAGCTCACCGCTTAGCTCCTAGCTGCAGTCTGGCACTCTATGAAGCTAGAGTAGCATATGGGCGGATCTGGGGATTATGGGGACTGGGGAATGTGGGACTTGGGAATTGGGGAATAGGTGGGCTCTGGGGTAATACCTATAGTAGGTAGTGGGGTAAGAGTCTGGTGATTTAGTGGGTAGTAGGTACGTATTTGTGCTTGATATCCGTGAACACCCGCATCCAATTTAACTAAAGCATTTGGATACCCTGGCTTTGACCCTGACCCTGAACTTTACCCCCGCCCTCACCCTAGCCCTTGTACATACTCTACTCTACGTAGCTACTCTACTTCTCTAGGTGGGCACGGTATGTACGGCGTCTCCGTTCGCTCGCTTCATGTTTGCATATCGGGAGCTAAGTGACTAGCGAGCTGCTTTGCTCACATGCGTACACAATAAACACCCCACAATTATACACTCCGCTCAATGTAAGGTATTACTTCATTTTTCACATTCCCGCCCTCATAATCAAAGTAACTACATATATGTATCAAATAAGAACCCCTTAAAAAATATTACAATTCTTTGCCTCTCCCAGGAGAAGCCTAAACCTTCGTCTCAATCTCCTCAATGATATTAGTAATGCCGTGCGTTCCTTCAACCGCAACAACGGTCTTCTTCAAACTCGCCGCCTTCGGGAATGGAGCGTTAAAGATCTCGTTAAGCTCCTCTAGAGTGCGGTCCTTTGTCTCAACATAGAAAAGGTAGATGAAGAGGGCTTGGAACGCGTCCCAGGCAATGTAGAGGAAGTAGAACCTCCATTTAACTATTATTGGTTAGCTATAGTTCAATAGAGGATCAGAGAAGTTGTTTAGAGGGGAATTACCATCACCAAGCCCAACTGGCGTAGCATACTGATTGAAGAAACTCGCAATGTTGACCCAGAAGTTGTACACGGCCATACCCTTAGCTCTGGTCTCGAAAGTAAGACACTCGACGGGGTAGAGCGCCTGGAAGGGTGTGAACCCGACACTGAAGGTGAATCCAAACATATAGATCATGGCAATGGTAGCGTTTGAGGCGGCTTTGTTATCAGTTCCGGCGAACTTGGCGGAGAGACCGGTGATGATGGCAAACCACATGACGAACAGACAGGAGGTGGTGAGCAACATCTTTCTACGTCCAACGCGGTCGACCAGAGTGGATCCAATAATGGCACCAATGAAGGAAATGACAGCGATAACCCCCGTAAGCATGAGTTGTGTGTTCACATCATCGATACCAGCTATATGATTGTTAGAATTAATGGCGTTTTCTGCGTACGGAATGGATTATTACTGACCCTGCTCCAACATTACTGGCAAAAAGTAACTGATAGCAGCGTTTCCTGACCATTGACCAAAGAAACTCATGGATACAACCATAGTCAATCTCCATCTGGCTGATTTGGTCGAAACCAATTCGCTGTAATCCCACCATCTCTTATCTGAACCGGTCTTAGAGATCTGCTCCTGCATCTCGCGGTAACTGAGCTGCACAATCGGGTTCTGCGGGTCATCTTCACCATGGTACTTTGCCATGACCGCGAGGGCTTCTTCGTGGCGGTCGTTGGCCATGAGCCAACGTGGGGTCTCAGGAACGAGGAGAGAACCGACGAGAACAATTCCAGAGAAGGACATCTGGAGCCACAATGGGATCCTCCAGGAGTTGTTGTGGGTCGGGTAGTGAAGGTTAGTCCCGTAAGAGATCCATGATGCGGGGATAGCTATTAAAGTGAATTAGTTTCTATCTTTAACCCAGGAGTATCGATGGGGTGACTTACATCCAATGAACCAGAAACTGTTGAAGATACCAGTGAGGATACCGCGGTACTTGGGATGGGCAATCTCAGCAACGTAACTAGGTCCGGCAGTAGCACTCATAGCTACTCCGAAACCAAGAACGAAACGCCCTCCCTTGAACTGTGGCATAGACTGTGAAGGTGCCTGAATACATGTACCAATGATAATGAACAAAGCTGTATGCCAAGCGTCAGCCACAAAGCTTAATAGGGCAAGCAATTCGTTAGTTTAAAGGTAGCTTACCTCCAGCGAACATTCCCCACCGACGACCCCAGGTGTCAGTAAGAGGACCCGCAACAAAACTACCGCAAAGATTTCCAACAGCTATTTCTCCGAATTAGTTCTCTTCCCAAAAGCAATCATGGCTCGAATTGCGGAAAAACATACTGTAGATTGCAAACACAAAACCTGTCGACTCTCCCGTTGTAGTCATCCCAAATTGTTTCTGGTACGGTTTCATCGCATTGATAGACCCCATTAGGGAACCATCGTAACCGTTGATGCATGCATTGAGTGTTGCTAGAAGACACAGTCCATACATCTGGATCATACGCTTCGACCATGGCTTGACGGGGGCCTTGAGAAGTGCGTCTGCGTAGGCGACATTCTCGACAACCACGACCTTTTGCGTGGCTGCCTCCTTCTCGTTGTGATAGGAGGTATCTGACATTGTACTCCGTGTTAAAGTTTGTACTCTTGGTGGAGGGTGCCAACGTTGGCCGGAAGTCTGGAGTTGTGGGGGGAAATCAGATACAAGAGTAGCGTTCAAGGTGTATTATATACTGTCCTTCTTGTAGTCCGGTTGCTCTACCTCTGTCCACTCTATTAATCCTGGAAGATGTGGGGCAATAGCTACCACAGGCAGAAAGAAAGGGTTTCATTATCGTTTGGATATTTTCGATGTAGACACCCATGGCCGCATATGGTTGCACGAGATATTTTCACACCTACAGAGACGATATTTGCCGTTGGGGGAGTTAGGGCGCTCCAGCTTCCCAGGTCCTGCATGCAGCTAGCAATCAAATCAATTAATCCATAGCTGCTATTTCTAACCCAATTGGCAGACAGGGAAGGAACTGAGGGAATGAAGATTAGTTGGTGGAATGGTTATTTGTCGCGACTCCCTATTATGAAGGCGTTAGATAGGTAGGTAGTTAGCCTATTGTTATTTTTTTTATATTTTTTTATTGAGGCGAAACCGCTAGCCGAACAGACATAATTGACAGAGAGCACGGGGACAGCTCACGTTCCAAAGGTATGTGAATCGACGCTGCTATAGCTTAGATAGTATTGCTCGTGATATGGCTTCCAGCTAGGAGTTGAGCATCAGGAGAGGTTCCCCAAGAGGGTTTCCTTGGGCTAGGTAGTTTTGTCTTGTGTTCTGTGGCCAAAATAGTAATAATAAATTTTCCGTTTTTCTTTTACCCTTGCTCGGATGTGGAACTATAGGCACGATCTTTCTCTGTTCCGTACCGCGAACCAAAATACTTTTAACTGCGACATTCCATTCTGGTACACATGTATGTCTATCACAACGTGCAACCCGGCCCAAAGGAATAGAAGTCTCGGAGAGTAGATTCGTTGAAGTCATTTTACCGATCTAATTCAATTGATCCTAACCCTGTATCCATACGACGCGTCTGGAAAACTGCAAACCTCCCCGTCGATTCCCTCCTCCTCAGATATTTGGAATTCGCTAGTGGCCATTTGGCTACTTACCTACGAAATGTAGCATGTCATTGTTATACCCCGCACGAAAGAAGATATTTATTAGGACCATAGGCCATGTAAGTTGGCGAGTAAACAATTCCAATATCCGGTCTTTAATAATCGAGTGGCGTCCTGGATAGTTTAGCTCAGTCTGGGGTTGTGGGGAAACATAACACTATCCCCAATTTAATTTCGACCTCAGTACGACATTCGGTCGCGGTAGGTACCACATACCTTTTTTTGGTATTCTCTGACAGATTTAATAGTCCCGTTCAGTCATGTCAACACCCTGGGGGACATACACCTACAAAAAAAAATATGTAATATTCTTGTTTGATGGGTGCCACCGGGAGAGAGCATGTAGCACCGCACCACACGGGCCGTTGTCTTGGGTGGCCTTTTCCTGGATATGCTGTATGTACTCGAAGCATAGAGTGCATACGTTTGCGCATGAAGCCTAGAGGGCATCGGCCCTCTTATCCGTGAATGGAGATCGCCGACGGATTGCGGACCGTCAGAGCCGTAGACTTCCTAGGTTGAATTGCGTGTGGCACGATGAACCGAATGAGGGGAGGCTCCATATTTCATGAACCCCATCTCCCCCACATATCTGGTTATTTAGCTGTGTGTTTCAAGTTCAGGATATATATGAGTGGACGAGGCAGCAATGAAACTAAAGTTGTAAGGTTTTTTGCTCTGAATTTTCATTCCGGGGATGCGGAATTATCAGCGGGGCTGGCTTCCATTGGAGCCTCGATCGAAGGAAGTGAAAATAATCCTGGCAGCTGTCGAATGGAAGGGAACACCGGCAATTAACCTTTTTGACCCTTGTCAGTGCGGTAGGTTTCTCTCACTCTCACAGGTTCCTGAATTCAACATCATCCTCTTTTGCCTTCAACTTTTGAAAGTTAAAAAAAAATGTTCCTCGTGATGTTCCATTATCCCCCTGTTCCTTCGCTTTTTTAATCGCAGTGGCGTCTTTCTTCCAGGAAGATGTACTTTTGCCTTATCGGCAATTAATGCAACCAGGCAATGGTTAAATGGCCATCCACCCTGGCCAATTGACAACGAGATCTAGCACGATAAATCAGCTACTGATGATGAGGCTTTTAAGAGTGAAGTAAAGTTAGGCGAAGTAGCGCACAACAAAGCGCAGATTACTTTACCTTTGCAATTGCGATATATCCTGTGTTCGCGAGATTCCTTCCTCTTGGACTTGAGTGCATGATCGAGCAGCTAGTCCATATCGTGATGATTTGAAGAAGGATGTTGTGCATGTGGCCAGTTAAAGACCTTAGATATCAAACGAACTCGATGAACGACAGTCTGACGAGAGGTCATGAAGACGGCTTGGCGATAAGCCACAGTGCTGCAATAGTATTAATGGAAGTTTAGTTACATGTAGTTGACAGATGTCACGAACCTGTTAACTTCTGTTTGGACCCCACTACCAAGCCATTTTGTCGGAAGCTTATCGTAGAAAAAACAAAGAATCGTGCGATTAAACTTTCCGATTGGGTAAACGATAGATTTTAAGCTTGGCGTGTGGCTAACGTCTACCGAGGTGGGATTTTATAATTATGTGCGCGGAACTCAAAACACGCTGTAACAGAGTTTCGAATTCATTCAGGCGACGGAATGATATAAACTTCTACCCACAAACAAATTGCGCACATGTACAGACATCCGTCAAGTAAACTAAGCGACGACGTAGCTCTAATTCATTGCTCATGTAATATAATTTTCAGCGAGATTTCAAGGACCCAGGATTCTACAGGTCACATGGATTGTGTGGATAACCTACGTAGAATAAATTGTTAGATTAGGAGTTACATCGTATGGAGCAGAATAGATAAATTATACAGCAGGGAACGTTAATGATCTGGAACTTGAGCTAGAAAAACTTCCCTGTGAGTATGGCTACGTAACATTATGTACATACTCTACATCATGCCTCATAGCTTAAATTCGGCGAGACCCGTACTTGTGCTACACATATCCAAGTGGGGGCCCGAAACTTGGGGATGCAGCTGCATTCCAATGGTTCGTTCAACCCGAAGAAAGACCCCAGCTTATTCGTGAGCTGCTGACATGCTTACAGCTAGGAACACACGATTCGCCTGCAGGACTGGGAAACGAGTGATCATGGGTGACCGGTGCCGCACACATGTATGGTACATGGCATATACATCAGAGTAAGCTGAATAATATCTTGGCTACCATTGTTTTCAATATCAATAGGACAGGAACCAAGTGCCATTAGCGTAGATACGATATATATAACGGCATTATCCTCACTGTACATGTTCGGCGATCTGGTTGGTGGACCGCCACTAGTGACTAAATACATATATGTAGTTTGCCATGCTATGATAGTCTAGGTCTATATCTAAACGTATGGCATTGTAAATAATTTACTACACATCTATTTCTGTAGATTATATATGGATAGGTATTAGCACATTTCCAGGTGAGTGAATCACATTGGGACATTCCTTAAACTCGATCATCCAGCTGAGATGTAGCGCCGCAGAAAGATGAATTAACCCGCCCTTTGTAAGCTTTTCCAGAATGAGCGAGCCTTTTAAATCGCGCTTAAATCTCTGAAAATAATATATTATATTGGTGCGCGATAAATCCCCTTTTCTTGAATAGCCGCCCCCCCCCCCCCCAACGCCAGAGGGAGGGGGGTGCCTCCAAGAACTGATAGGCTCTCAGTAAGACTCTAAAAGAACTATTGAGCGGTAAAACCTCCGATTGTATATGAAGCCTCCTGCAAGGAACTTGATTACATAGATTCTCACTCGGTTTCTCCACTGCATGCTGCGAAGTTTTTCTCTTTTTTTGCTTAATTCATTAATTGCATGCAATCTTACAGTTATGGCAATGTCCCCTAAACTACCCGTTCGCCTCCACCGCCACTCACGTAGTACCAGACAAATGAAAGAAAATATAGGAAATGATATGAAAGCCCTGAACTACTCTTCGTCTCTCGCGTCCTTTAACGTCCCCCACCCGTATCCTAGTTCTCTTCCTTCTTCCTCCGCACTCTGGCTGTGTCCGTCTCTCTCGTACCCCTATCTGGCAAACTGCTTCCGTACCGGTCTTCGTCGCTGCCTCTATCCCGTCGGCCGTCCAAAGGAGCTTGGCGACCGTATTGCATACTGCGAAGTCAGCTAGCGCAATTTGGGAAATATTTTGAAATAGTCGTATTTCACAGCCACCTAGACCACATGTGAGGACCTTTAAAATTTAAGTCTACCATTTTGCTCATTATTCATACATGTACCCAACCTTTTGGTCTTCAAAGAATCTACACGTATAAATAGAGATTTGAACACGTAAACGTTAATAAACTATGTGGACTTTCAGATCAAGAAACAACGTGACCTTGAAACAATGTGGCCTTCCGGATTTCTCTAACCTGTTACCCTCCTTCACTCCCAAAGCACCAAAGCCGCTTTCCCGCCCCCACTTCTGCTCTTCTTCTTCTTCTTTCCTTGGGGGCGGTGGGGTCGGCGATATTTACTTTTCTCATATTCTTTCTATCTTTTCTTTATTTCACATATGCATGTTTCTTTTCAGTTTTCTTTTCTTTCCTTTTCAACAAGGTTTTTCTTGTTTATCGTATCACGTTACATGTCATCTTTCCTTTTATTTCCGTTTTTCTTACTTTCCTTTCTCAACAATCTTTACTATATTTCTATTTCATCCCTCATACCATTATCTTGTTTTGGGGATCACCCGTCTCTGATAGATGGGGTTCCTAAAATTGTATGTAATTGTAACTTGTATTTCTGCATGTCGGTTCACTCTTTTCCCACTGGGTTTTTAACGAGGTTCCGTGGTTCTGTCTTTTCTATTGAATACAAGTCACTTTGCAGTCAACTTAGATTGTTTACATATGTGAATCGCAATCGTAGAGTGAACACGTTGAAAGGATGGCAAGTAAATCAGATATTTTCTTCTGTTTGATCAGTTTATCTCGCGTATTTTTTAGTTAGGGACTCTAGATCTGGATGTTAAAGGCTGGTAGTCATCCAGAAAAGACGGGCCAGCTGGTACTTATGTATACGTAGTCTGAAGTGCTCTCGGTTGGCGTTCGAAATATTTAAAGTTCAAGACACCTGTCCCCTTAAATTACCCCAATATATCACCAAATGTACACGTACGCATATAGTCCAGTGGTATACGTCGCTGAACCTCGAAGATTTCCTGCTCATCCAGGCCATCCCCAATAAAAAATTGTTGAATTAACAAAGATGCGAACACGATCAATAAACAATAACGGTGATCTATCTCTATATATGCCACAAAGTCTGTACGAGAACATTAGTCAATTAGCTTGATCGAGTAGTGCCCCACTCTAGATCAGCGCTCGAAACCGCCAGCTATATGAAGAATGGAGATTCAGAGGTCCTCTATCAGGGTAAATCTCCGTCTTAAGCTACTTATCTTCTTCGGTATAGATATATCTGGAGCTGTTATATTGACGGATACAAATTAAATGCATTGAAACCTTTAGTTAGCTGACCGACGCGTATGACGGAAACGACATTTAACGTCTACACTCGACGTATGGGATCGAGCACGCGGTGCATAAAATCTGGGTTTCAAAGTCGGCCTAGACTATGAACGCAGAAACCCCCCTCGACACCGGGGATAGGTGGCAGGGCACCAGGTCGGATTCATGGTTCGGGTATTACGAGTGATAATCTATGATTACATGCACCAAATACCTCACCAAGAGCTGTTTCAGTTCGACCCACTTTGAACACAAACTTTCTTTTATCTCATTGGCATTGCTGACACTGACACCAACAGATACAGAATAATATTTACAGCCCAGAGCGACCCTTTCTTTGTTCCCCAACCACCACCATATAATCAACCACATGTCTCGATCACCCTCAAACGAAAACACTCGCCAAACAACGCACAGTTCACCAACGAGCAGTTCCATCACATACAGCATACCCCCAACAAAACGGCCGACGCGCAGAAGAAGCACCCCGCCGAGGCGATACCGGCGCAAGAAGCCACAATGGCTGCTAAAGAAACCACAGTCTCAACCTCTTCAACACCCCACGAGCTGCCCACGCCGAAAAGCACGCCGCAAGTGAGTGTGCGGAGTAAGACGCCGGAGCTGAGTGAAGCGGGGTACCAGAGGCTTGCGGCGTTTCTGGAGAAGGTGTTTGGTGAGGCAGAGGCAGAGGCGGGGGCTGGTGGTGAAGGGGTGAGTAGACATAGTTGGATTTCCCCCCCCAAAAAAAAACAATGGGCTAATACTAGGGGGTTTTAGGAGTCGGATAATAGTTCGGCGCTCATAGGGCTTATAGGGCGGGAGTCGGCGGTGCGAGCGAAGAGGCATCAGGCATGGGTGGAGGAGGTACCGGAGGATGAGGATGTTGCTAGGCGATAGGTATCTTAAAACTCTTTACAATTTGCGTTGACAATACTCAGGATATTTGGGATAGCTGGACACATGTATGTTGCTTTGATGTTAGTTCACGATAGATTAGCTACGTCGTACCTTTCAGGCTGACCCCAATGATGGAATAGCTTGTTTCATGAAGTATCACTCGGGTGCGCTATTCGCTCAAGTACCTAGCTATAGAAGGATCGGTGATAAGGAGTTTTATTTATAATTAACTGTGGTAGTTTCTCTGAAAATAATCAAGTACTATCTACCACAAACTCCTAACTGCTTAGAAATGACACACCATGATCAGATTATGTACTTATGAGATGGACATCCATAGGTGTGGGATGACCTTGAAATGACGAGCTTTGGTGCAACTGCCAGAAGAAACAAGAAAAGATGCAAAAACGTTACTGGCGCTTCCACCCAAATGAAAAAAGACCCCTAACCCTCCGTCTCCTCCGTCTTTCCGAACGTCTCCTCACTCGTATACCTACAAGCACAGCACGTACCGTCAGTCCACTTCATCCACCTCACCCATCTTAGAGAAAGAGAAGAACTTACACCACATACATGAACCCATCCGCATCCCTACTCTCCTCAAACAGGGCGCCCAGCTCCATACTCGTCGGCGGCAGCACCCCGTCAACAAGCAAGAACAGCGCCTGCGTTGGCGCAATCTTTGTGCGGCGCCTGATGAGATGCAGCAGGTAGGCCACCTGGCGCTCCGGCGGGATGAGCACCTTGATGAGGTTTGGGCCCTCCATCTTGGAGTTTGGCGCCTTCTCGCAGATGACGGGGATGTGCGAGGGGCGCGAGATGAGCATTGCCGCGGAGGCGCGGCGCCGCTCGGTGGAGGTGTAGGTGGACTTGAAGTCGAGGCTGTGGGGGGGGGGGGGTTAGTGCATGTGGAGGGGGGGGGGGGGGGGAAGGAGAGGAGGGATCTTACAGTTCAGACATGGTGGGAGGGTTTTGGTACGGTGGTAGGTGGTGGGTGGGGTTGGTTAGATGGGGTGTATAGCTTGGGCTATAATGTTGAGATATCAAGAAGTGGCGAATTTGAAGATTGGAGGTAAGTAAGTAGCTCTGGCTAGCTATAGGTACGTTCTGGAGGTTGCGAATATTGCGGTGAAGAGACCTCCCAGCTGGAAAGCCAATTGCGATATAAGTAACCTCCAAACCGATGCCCGGGGTCGCTGCCCATACTATGGCTCCGGTGCCTGTCTGTGGTCTGTATCCCACAAGGTCCAAACCACCACCCAGCTAAATATACAGTCAATGTCACCTCGATGACTCCTTGGTCAAATAAAAACAGACGCCCTGTGACGAGCGACGTCTCTAATGGCATTTATAGAAAGAAACATCCACCTCTCAACAACTAGCCCGAATCCCTCCGCCGTAAGGTGGTCTTAGTAACGGCCAACTAGACGTGTCACCTTGATGGGTATAAGTAGAGAGGCGCCCATCCTCCCTCGTCCATCCTATCACCTCTCGAGTCTCCTACATCTACAGCTTATACAGCCACACATAGCTAACAAACGAAGCTCTCCACAGCTTGCACAGACCGTTCAACAATATGGACGCCTTAATTAGGTACCTAGCTCCCACCGCACGCCCAATCGCTCCCCCGGCCTTTCCCCAGTTCTCGCCACTTGACGGCCTGGCCTCCGGATCGTCCCTCACAGCTACACGCTAGTTAGTTATGACTGTGCAAACAGCACGACTCATGTTCGCATTTATCGCACTTATCACCTCGTGCGCAGTCCTTAATTGGCCGCTCTCCTCCCCCGGTCCCTGGCAGGCACCGCCGATAAAGCTATTCACCACGCTGCGCCACCCCCAGCGCCGCCGCTGGGTATGATGATCATCCACCTTACAGTCACACCTGCCCGTTAAGGATACTCAGGCCAGGGCAGAGGAAGGATAAGGTGGTGGGGCGTGGGGAGAGGTGGGGAGGGGAGTCAGAACCCTATCGACATCCAGCCCCACCAAGAAATTCGATACCGATAACTCTAATCCAACCAAGCTTTCTGACATGCTGTTGCCTAACTATGTAGCCCAGTAACACGCTTAGTGTGCATAAGCTAGGTAAGGATGTCGCAGTATTCCCTAACCCTGTCCAAGCAAGAACCCTAGCCCTGAATAGCCAACCCTAACCTTGCCACACTAATGCTAGCTAGGGCCGATCTCAACCCATCACTCGCCCCTCAATGATAAAAAGCTCTACTTTTTTGGAGTCTGCCCTTTTTTCTTCCAGCAGCTGAGTATTACTGTGTCTCTGTGCCCCGGTGGGACAATAAAATTCTTCTTCCCCAAGCAGATCACATGATTCGAACCACATCTCCCACCTGCATGAACATATACGTCGAACCAGGCTAGCTAGCTAAAGCTAAATATAATATTAAACAAGACCAGGCACGCAGCAGGCAGGCGGGCGGGTGGCCGTGAACATGAAACGAGGAGGAGGGGCCTCCTGCGTCTGATTCAGGTTTCTTTTCCACAGGATGCATGGCCGGCCGGGCCCCATGGATGGCCGGATGCCATTCCTGGTACGTCTTACCTTTCCTACGTCTCTTTCTCTCTGTTCCTCTGTTCTGTTCCGCGCTCCTTGGAAGGAGAGCTGGTCAGATTAGGGAAAAAAAGTTGCAACCGGGAATAATTTTTACAACAAGGCCTTTCTTAAACCATGATCATGAATCTAGAAGCATCCGTCCGGCCATCATGGAAGGTGGAAAGGTGGACGGTGGACATGGGTATACCTCACCTCACACCTCCTGCTCCATGATCATTCACCAAGATCACATATCTGTACCGGCATCACGAAAAAACTCTCGGGATCGGAAACAATCTTTCGCCCCCCCTACCCCCCCCATTTTTTTTTTACTCGATCCGTAGTCAGAGGTCAGATATGCAAGTTTTTTCAAATCTTGCTGCTGTGTGAACTAGTACTATACCAGTGATGGCTACAGCTTTTTCAGAACTTGTAGGTGATATGTGGTGCAGCCATGGGGCGAGGGGGGGAGCAGAAAAAAATTATACCGCGGCCGTGACTCAGTGATGAGATGGTCTGGTTCTTCATATCGATATCGGGCCTAACTATCCTAAAAAAGAGCCTCCCCGTTGGGGGACAAAAGCTCCCAAGAAATACAGAGAAAGAGATGGGATAGGGGGGTTTTTGGTGAAAATAGACAATAAGTAAAAGGTAAAGTAAGCGGTAAAGTTTTGAAAGGAAGAAGTAGAAAGAGAGGGAAAAAAATTATAAACAAAAGAAATCTCCCTAACGTACGCAGCAAGCAAGAAGCAGCAACAACAAAAAAAAAAAAGAGAAGTGAAAAAAAAATACAAAGTAAAAACGCCCCACCTCCCAAAAATAAAATAGAAAAAAAAAAAAAAAAAACCTTCGTCCCGGCCCTGTAATATGTATGTATGCCAATCCCAATCTGTTCCTTCCTGCAATGTCATAAAACTGTATCCTTCCCCGGCCCTTCTTCCCACCCCCCTCCCCTCCCCCCTTCCCCTTCCCCTGCTGCTGCTGCTTCTGCTTCATACTACCTGCCCTCCCTCCCTCCCTCCCCTCACTCGTCCCAGCAACAACGACCGCTCGAGCCAACATATAAGTAGTAACCAAATTGTGTGTAAGTTGCGCTTTAGGAGAGGCAAAAAAAAAAAAAGATGAAACGCGAGCTTGCCACAAAAGAAATGCGTGTCACGACCATAAGAGAAAAGAGATCCAGAAAATCAAAGAACAATCCCGAAAAGCACACAGACACATACGCGCACACACACACACTCGCAGAACCGCTAAAATAACAAATCACAACTAAAAACACAAAAGGGAAAGCAAAGCAATAATAATAATAATGATAATAAAAAAAAAGAGAAACCCACGCTATGCAATTTACAGAATAAACAGAAACAGAAACATCGTCAAAAGAAAATGGGGGGAGGGAATAGGAATAAAAGAAGGAGGGAAGATACTTCTAGCTTTCTTTCTCAAGATCGAACTAACAAGAAGATAGTAGGTTCAACCATCCAGCCAGCCAGCTAGTATCCAGTATCCATCCATCAAGCAAAGCAAAAAGCAGCCCTTTCAAAAAAGCTCTGCCTCCCCGCCCTGCACGCTCTCATTCGCACACACCCTACACATGACAAATCCACAGCTGTCCAAACAGACCCACATATTTGGAAACGGCCCCCTCCTACAAAACCTGCACTTCCCCGCATCACCGCTCCCCTGCATCCCCTTGCGCGGCTTCAACCTGTGCTCCTCGATAATCAGCTCGCCGTCGCCGCTCTCGCCATTGCTGCGCGCAGTCTTGAGGAAGATTGTGCCGGGCATGCGTGCCAGCTCTGAGCGCTCCTCGTCTGTCAGGGCCACCGCCTGCATACCAGTGGTTGTGCTTGTGGGAGAGGTGGTGGAGGTGGTGGCAGATAGCGTGGGGCTTGCGGGGACGGTGCCGGGTGGGGAGTAGTAGACTGGCTGGTGCAGCTGCTGCTGCGAGGGCGGCAGCACGGGCGGGAGGTTCGACGGGTTGGACGACGATCTGGCATGGCCTGATTTCCAACGACTCGCAAAGGACGAAGAGGAGGACGGCAGTGTGCCTCCAGATGTTGCACGGGGTCGAGATGAACCATTGTTGGTTGGGGTTGTGGTGTTGGTGTTATCATCATCGAGGGAGTGGGAGATCTCTGAGGAGAGGGGATGGGGGCCGGCGTACTTGATTGCGTTTGAGGGACGCGAGATGATGTCGGGCGTGATGGGCGAGTGGTTTGTACCGCGCTTGTTGACGTGCGAGTTGAGGCGGGTGAAGGCATGACGTAGGCTGACGGTCTTTGAGCGACGGGGCGTGTTCTCGGCCACCGCGGCCACAACGGGAAGTCCTCCTCCTGTCTGCTGTGGTGCTCCTCCTGCTGCATGATACTGGTTCTGATACTGCTGCTGAGGATGATGATGGCCAGAGGGTCCAACAGGGAAGAACGGTATCGAGACGTCATTGTCCGAAGTCTCGGTGTTGAACACTATGGGCCGCATGTTCTGCATGTCGTCCGGTATCCTCTTTGGCGACAGCCCAGCCGTGAAGCTGTACTCTGATGCGGCCGTGGGCGACACAGGCGCCGTCTTGAACGAGCCCACGTCAAACTGGGGGGGTATGACGATCTCGTGCAGCAGCGAGCTGGGCTTGTTGCCCCCCCGCGAGCCTCTGGTCGACGATGCATACTTGTCAGGATTGAAGGCGCCCGGGCTCTGTGGGGGCGGCAGCACAACGCCCTCGTCGACATCAGCAAGGTTGTCCATGGGCATCCCACTACTAGGCGACTTGGGACTGTGCATATGCATGCTCCTATTGGAGTTCATCGACATGGCCGAGAAGGATGTGCCAGGACGGTTGGCTGTCGACGGCCGAGTGATGGAATTTGTTCGGACCCGGGGTGTCAGTGATAGTGGTGCCTTGGCCTGGTTCACTGCCGACGATCTCGAGCTCATGGTGCTGGTTCGCAGAAGCTTCGATCCACCGGCCGTGGGATGCAGGGAAGGCTTTGCAGATCCCGCAACTGGGATTGGGATTGGTGCAGGTCTCGGTGCCAGGAATGACGGCGTCTCCCGACCAGTAATCTCTTCCCGGATCGAAGCCACAAAGCTCGGGGCACGCTGGGGTGCGGGTGGTGGCGCTGGTGCTGGGCTCGCCGAGCGTGACCTGGAGGACATGGGCCGGTGAATTCGGGATGAAGCTGTCACGGCCGATAATTGACTCGAGTGCTTGTTCGCCGTGGGCGTGGGAGCCTCGACATTTACGGACGGAATACCCTGGTTAAGCATGAAGTTGCCCTCGTCGAGGCAGAAAAGCACCTCCTGCGACCTGCCGTCATCATCATCAAAACTCTGGCAGTTGTAGTAATTATCGCTTCCGGGCTTGTCTGGCGAACTCCTGGCAAACATGTAATCGCCATCCGGAGTGATGGGGCTCGACGGGGAATCCGAACGCCTCTTCTCATCGTGGAAGCTCTGGAACGAACTGCGGCCACTCCGGATGCCGGTCGAGTCGGTCGTTGTCGACGAGTCTTGGCTTGTTGTCTCGGTCCGTGTTGTGGGCGAGTCCGCAGACCTATACGAAGAGTGACCTGAAGCGGCTTTGGCACCAGTGTGTGAATAATCTTTCCGCGACAAGGGGCTCGGGTTTGAGGTGGGGGTGGTACCATATCCGACATACTCCTCAGTCGAGTCCCTCGACAGCAGGCTCGGATGTATCTCGTTCAGAGGCAATGGGTAGTGCGCAGTGGTGCGCGGCGAGGAAGGCACCGACGCAGACACAAATTGAGCCTCGTGGATACTTGAGGCTACATTGGGGGGGCTGAGAGGACTACTTGCCCGCCTATCACGACTGTGCAATAGACCACGTATTTTTGTCGAGAACATACGCCCAATGCTGTGGGTGCTGTGGGGCGAGGACGGTGCCTTTGGCACCATATTTGCACCTCCAAAGCTGGTGGGGCGGAGAGGGTCGGGGCGTGTGCGGGAGCTAGTGCTCATACCGCTGTCCGATGACCGCAGCTTCGGCATCGCAGAGTCGGAAAAGAATTGTTCGAGGATGAGGGTGGGTATCACTAGTGCCGAGCGTTCCTTCCCGGACTGAGGCGCCACGGAAGATGACGATGGAGAAGGTGGAGGCGGGAGAGGAGGGAGAAAGCGCTGAGCTGGCGTGTATGTGGGGGATGCGAGGGGATCCGCTTCGAGACCGGCTGCACACCAGGGGAATTCAGCCAAAAGATTGACGTTGGCAGTTTCTTCTGCTGTTCTTCTCACTCCTGCTGCTGCTGCTGCTGGTGATGATGGTGATGATGGTGATGATGATGGTGATGATGATGATGATGATGGTGGTGATGTCGACGATGGAGACAAAGATGATGAGGCGTCGCCAGAGAATCCTGTCAACAACTCCGATGGCCGATTATCGGTATCTCGAGTCTCGACAACCGAAGTACCGGACGACAACAACAACAACGACGACGATGACGATGACAACGACGACGACGACGGAGGTGTGTTGAAGGGGGGAACGTTTACGGGAGAAACGTGTTTGTGGTGGTGGTGGTGGTGGTGGGTACGAGGAGGAGGGGTGGAGAGAGAACGATCGTGCTGCTGCTGCTGCTGTTGTTCGGAGAGCGAAAAGGTTTCGGGGTCAAACAACAAAGACGGAGCTGGTTTAGGTGATGTGAGGGACGATGAGAACGGGAAGTAGACGGTGGACGACGTTTCATGGCAGGGCCGACGTCCAGGACTGGCAATTGCGTCTTCGGGGCTGAGTGGGGAGATCTTTTCCTCGCAGGAGAATGTTAGGGGTGGGCCGAGTGCAGGTTTAGGTTTTCCCTGCTTGGAGGAGGAGGAGGAGGAGGAGGATGGAAGGGGAGGAGCAGGAGCAGCACTAGGAGGAGTGGGAGTGGTGGGAGTGGTGGGAGGAGGAGGAGAAGCTACGACCACCACGGCGGGGGAAATTTCGTGGTTGAGAATTGAGTGATTCTCATCAGTGTGAGTGTGAGTGTGAGTGTGAGTGTGAGTGTGGTGGAGGTCGAGGTTCTGGTTGTGGTGGTGGTGGTGATTCTGCTGCTGCTGCTGCTGCTGGTTGTCGGACAAGGCTGCCACCTGGCCAGCTGTGAACGTGTCTGCGTGTTTGCAGGCGTATTGCTGGCGCGACCCCCAAAGGGAGGGAGGGATAGGCGGGAGGCATTCGTCGAGTGGGAGAAAGAGAGACAGGTCGTTGGCTGACCTGGACTTGTGGAGGGTGATTGGGTCAGGATGGCCAAGAGAGCTTAAGTGATCGGAGAAGGTGTAGGAAGCACTTGCGGAGGGGACTGCAGTAGTAGGCCTAACGGCTGAGTGGGAGCTGTGGTAGGTTGGTCTCACGCCGCCAAAGGTGGGGCCTGCCTCACGGTAAAAACTGTGCTGCAAGGTGAGGCTCTCGCCATTTACGTCGTTCACCTCATGACGGAGGGCCAGAGTGTGGCTGGAGTGGGATACAAGAGGACTCGATATTGAGAAACTGGCCAGCACCGGTGAGGTCACCACGGAAGAAGCAACAGAGGGTGAGGGCGATCTTGTAATTGCAGTTGAGAGTTTTGTTGCAATTAGCCTGAGCCTGAGCTTTGTTGGTGTGGCACTATTATTACGACTATCATTGAGATCGAGGTTGGCTGGAGTAGTGACACCAGTATTGGGACGAGTATTAGTAGCAGAATTAGTAGCCGTAATAGTAGTAGTGGTAGTGGTAGTGGTAGTGGTATTAGTGGTGGTAGCAGTAGCAGTAGTAGTAGTACTAGCAGTATTACTAGCAGCTGTCAAAGGATTAGAGGTGACGTTGTGACCGAGTTTGTTTCCCACTCCCCCACCTCCCATTAGAAGCAATTGCTCTTCCCCAATCCCCTCCACACCAGCTATCAATTCTGCTGCCTCTGCTGCCTCTGCTGCTGCTGCATGTCCCAATTCATTCTCATCTCCCCCCAGCATGAGTAGCTTCCCTAATTCTCCATCCCCTGACCATAGCAACGACGACGACGACAACTTCCCTCCACTTCACCCACCACCATCAACCCCCCTCCACTTCCCTCTCCTCCTCCACTATCACTTCCCCCACTCACTGATAAGTCCCCATTACTATTATTATCACCACTACCACAACCACAACCACCATTGCTGCCGCCGTCCAATGCGCTGTCCTGCAAATCCCCCCGGTCGCCCTTCTTCTTCGCACCCGCGTTATTATTGCTCCAAATGGACCACTGCGTGATGCCCGCCATGTGTCTGTACCACAAGTGATCCTGTACCTACCTACTCGAAAGGGACTGGGGAAAATCACTGGGCGCGGCGGGAAATGTGAGGTGATGACAACACAAACACCTTCTTCTGCTTCTTCTTCTTCTTCTTTCTTCCTGGGGGGGGGGGGGGGGGGCCAAAAAAAAAAAAGTTAAAGGAAAAAAATAAAAAAATTATGTATTATGTATTATGTATGTAGGTATGTATGTATGAGGGGAGTTGGATGCGACGTCGTCGATTTGGTACTGTACTCTAGGTGGTTAAGCTGTAGGTATGTAGGTAGGTAGGTAGGTATATCGTATGTGCCGGCCGAATATGAATATGACGAACGGAGATCTGATCTGAGTGAGGTACGGGGGGTGGGTTTCTTTTTTGTTTATGCCGCTGCCCGCCGTAAAGTAGTACTAGTACGTACGTCGTGATAATAATGTAGAAGAAGAAGGGGGGGGGGGGGGGGGGGGGAATTAAAAAGATTATTCACAAGCTTTCCCGTACGTACGGTACGGTCTTCTCAAGCTTCTGAAGGAATGGAAGAAGCTGGCCGTCGACGGTACCTCGAGTGAGTGAACGGGGAACAGGAACAGAAAAAGTTAAAAAATAAAAGAAATAAAAAAAAAGGCCAGCTATGACCAGACAGACGTCTCTCTATACATACTCTATTACAAAAAAAACCTAAACCGCAAATCTAAAACCAGAAAGCTAAGAAATGTCTGTGTCTGGCTTCCCCTTCTTTTCTTGCTTCCCAGCTTAATTTTCTCCTGAGCAGAATTAATCCGGCCGGGTTAGTGTTCAATTGCTACATGTATGTTATGATGTTTCTCTCTCTTTGACCTCCTCCTCCTCCTCCTCCTCCTGCTCCTCCTCCTCCGGCTCCGGGGGTGGGTGGGTGGGTGGTGGCAGGGCAGGGCAGGCAAGGAAGGCGGAGGGAACGAGAACATTCCCATGTTCGACGGGCTGTCTACTCTACCTAGGTAAAATTGGAGGTGTACCCTATATGTGAAGAGATCCGTACAATAATAAAACCTGTAGAGTAGTTACTAACCCCTGCACTGGAGATTTTTTTTTTTAGTTTTACCCCTGTCGATGTTCGCGGTACTCTCCACAACTGCGAGACGAGGATGGAGAGATCTACTCTCTGTATGTATGTACGGGGCCCACTTATGCAAATATTAATCGATCCTCCTCCTCCCTCCTCTCCAATTAATTCCCCTAGCCTAGATATACCCTACCCTACATACTCATGTACCAACGGGAGCGCATTTCTTTTCTTCAGCTCAATTAATTCTCCTCAAGCTCAATTCATCTCACCTTTTTTTCTTTTGATCTTGATCAATCTCTTCAATTGTGGGCGTGCAGCAACCTCATTCACTCACTCACTCACATTCACACATTCACACACACACACACTCGCCCATCTCGCATCCGAGTCCCGACATGGACGAACTAGAGTACGGACGACCTCCGTCCTGAGACCCTGCGGTGGTGGTGGTGGTGGTGGTGGTATGTAGCCTGTAGTTGCAATTGCGGTATCGAGTGGTAGTGGTTGCTGCAACTTAACCTGATGGATGGACCAGGCAGGGACCTACCTCGACCTCCCTCCCTCCGTTCAAGCCACCGACCCGACCCAATCCTTGGCCCCAGCAAGCCTCCTCCGAAGAATAGGCCCCCGCCACAAACATCTCATCATCATCATCATCATCATCATCAGTCAGTCCTTTCGTTTCCCTCACCTCGGCCTCATCAATTACATGTATGCCCACCCCCCCCCCCCTCCCCCTCCCCTCGTCCGAGGTAACCGACCAGCCAATCGAGTGCTGTTTCGGACGTCAATTATTCACCCGGGAGCGGGAGCTTTTCGAGCGGTGAGTGAGGTGAGTGAGTGAGTGATCGCTAGTGAGTGAAGTGAGTGAGTGAGTGACATGTCTACATACAATGCTAAGCTAGCATACATCATAACCCAACCCCAACCTACCGCGATGCCATATCAAAGGCAGAAAAAAGTAGGTACATAACCGATGATGTAAACACACACCTCACCTCACCCACACTCGCTCACTCGCTCACTCACACACTGCACACACACACACACCCGGGAGAGAGAAAGACAGACAGAGAAAGACTCGCCTAGCTACGGTCTGTTAATGCACATCCCCCCCCCCCCCACCTCTCTCTCTCTCTTCCCCCATTCCTGCATTTCACCCCATTCCTGCATTTCACCCCATACCGTAATCTGCATCACTCCCATAACGTCCACCGACGTGGCAGTCTGTTTAGAGGGCCCCCCTCTCCCCCCCCCCCTCCTCCTCCTAGGGGGATTTTCCCACTCTTTCTTTCCTCTAGCTTTCTCTCTGTGTCTGTCTGTTTTTTTTCCCCCGTCTTCTCCCACCACACACACACACATAGAAACGAGAAAAGAAAAAAAAAAAAGAAATAAAAAACGAAAAAAATAAATATTTCCTTTCAGTCTGTCGTACCACCGTCGCGTGCCACGTGCAGGGGTGCGGTTGTTTCGTTTCCGGGTTGGACGTCGCGTCGGGAGGCCTTTGCTGGGTGGTCGAGGTGTGTGGACCGTGTCCAGGTGTGCGTGTGTCGGTCGGTTAGGTAAGCGTTGCTGCTGCTGCTGCTGCTGCACAGGGACAACAGGCACAGGGCCAGGGACAGACAAACAGGGACAGACAGACAGGCACATCCCCCCGAAGCAGAATGGGGGAAAGATGTGACTCTGCAAGGAACTCAATCACGAACTATCATCACCACCTACATGTACCAGGCAATGTACCCAAGTACCAGGCCTGGCAAACAATAAAACTCTAGATATACATATATAATAAAAGGTATATCAATCTTATTACCACTTTATATAAGCTCTACGTACTCTTTTCCCACTCCCACTCTACTCCAAACCTTCCCCCCATGCTACGGTACTGTACCCCCACCCCCGCCCCCCCCCCCACCGCCGTCCTCCGTACCTAGTACCTACCCTACTACGGCCACTTCCGGAAATTTCAACATCACGTGACCCGTGATCCCCCCCCGTTCCACCAGGCTTCCATGAGATGCTTCCACGACGGGAAGGGTAGCAGATCCAGATCCAACTAATTAGGTACCCGGTCTGTCTTGTCTCCCAAGGTTCCAACTCCTCCTCCTCCTCCTCCTCCTCCTCGATCCTCTAACTTTTTTTTCCTAAATTACCTTGTCTGGGATATAGGGAGGGGAGGGTATGGGTAGAACGCTCCAGAAAATTCGAAATCCTGTCTCATTTAATTCCCCGTCCGCCGTCCGCCCGCCGTCCCGGCTCCCGTCCGGCGCGCCCCTGATCTGAAGAAGAAGAAGTAAAAAGAAAAAAAAAAAAAAAAAAAAAAGAGAAAAAAAAAAGAACGAAGAGGTACGTGCATGGATGGATGGACCGGGTATCTGAGCGCGGCGGCATCGCATTTGCGCGGGTCTGCTTGGCCGCTTAATTGCAAATGGGGTACTCTACTGAGATGGAGGCAGCTAGCTAGCTGGGAGGACCTACAGGATGTAGGTACGTACATGTATGTAATGTATGTAGGTACATGTACCCAAGAGGGCGTATGGCCATATGGATGGAAGGATGATGGATGGGGGAGGGGCAATTCTGGCTAGATATGAGGTGCGATGGATGGAGATGAGTGGGTTATGGGGGGGTGGGCGACACAGCAACGTCATGTGGGTAGAGTGATCTAACATACATGTATGTACATGTATGTACCTACATGTACCGTTACATACATCGTACCTGCTACCTGGATCCCAAGTATGTGTGACTCTGCTGGTACGTGCTGGTACGTGCTGGTCTGCTTGTGGAGTGGAGCGGAGTGGAGTGACGATGGGTGAGTGAGGGGAGATGATGCGCATTTGCAGTTGCATGGCCATCTCCAGGAGTAGAGTATCATGTAGTGTATGTATGTATGGCAATAGCATACATGTATGCATCAGGAGTAGAGTAGGCGGACGGACAGCTAACCTACTAGCTAGCTTGTAGGCGGCGGCCATGCACCACCACATAACCTAGCTAGCCACATGTATGTATGTGGTGGTGCTAGAAATTCTACGATTGCCTACAGCAGAGTTTCCGAGTTTCCGGTACCTTGTACACCCTGCCAACTGCCTACCTGCCTGCCTGCCTGCCTGCCTCCACGTCGAACTCCACCCACGTATATGTATTTGAGATGAGATGGAGGGGAGAGGGGGGGCACGATGAGGGAGGGGAGGGGAAAAGAGAGGGGCACAGTACAGCGCAGTAACAGCACACCACATCCACATCCACATCCCCATGGGCCCCATCCACATCCGCATTCACATATTCCATCCACAACTAATTACTCCTCTACCCCCGATCCCACAATCTTGAAATCTCGGAATCTGCGCATCATGTGGGCCAGTTTCTTTCTTTTTTTTTCTTTTTTACTTTTCGATGCCGGCACGAGATGGGGTCGATGAATGACTTGTCAGTCACCCACCCTGCCTCCTAGCCTTCCAGTAGAGTACAGTGCCCTGCTAGCTGGTATAAGCTGGCCGCTTAGGATAATCCTCAATCACACTGGCCTGCACTCTCTCTGCTTGCCAGCAGCTCAGTGTTGCTGGAACGTGTGTACTGCAGGATGAGATGAACCCGCGGCGCTTCATTACCAGATCTTATATTGAGCGCTGTGGTTGGCCTGGGGGTCCCGGGGGACATCCTTGCGTGGTGTATGTATGCAGGTACGCTTTTTTCTCCCCCTGGTTTAGTGGTCTGGTGGTGGGGAGTGAGGGGTAGCCTGGCACTCTACTTGATAATAGATTGCCATGCCCCCAGCACCCCCCTCCCCCCTTCGC